CATTAGCACCTCTAGTAATAAATTTACTGAGAAAAATGGTGACGTTTTCAATACGTATTTTACCCGCTGTAAAACAAATGACTAAGAACGAGTGTGCATTTTATTTTCTGTTACTTTTAAAGCAGAAAAGTCACAGTGAAGGAGAACAACTACAAACAACTATAGGAAATTTGAGAAAAGTACATTTTTAGGTGTGATATTTAGGCCACAAACAAATGTTAGAATTTACAAACTAAAGTAGCATTCATCTATTTAATTTATACKTTGTGTTGGAAAAAAACCCCATTGATCAAAATTATTTAAATGAGCTTTTAGGTACAATTTAGATTGTATGGATTTTTTTTAGGGAAATAAGTGCGTGAAAAAAACTTTAAGCTAAAGGCAACTTTAACTGTTAATGTTGTGCCACAAGTTAACATTTCCTTAAATGTGGCAAGGTTAAATGACTAATGGCATTAGTTGTTGACTATTGTCATTAGGAGCTGCAGTGTTGCTGAAATATTACACAATTTAGCATACAAAAAAAAAAAAAGAATGTATTAAAACACTATGCCCAAAAATTTCAAAACCCACCTGCAGTACCTCCACAACCCCACTAGGGGTCGTGACCTCAACATCGAAGACCTCTATGTTTGCAAAATGTTTTACRTTTTTATCAAAATCACATTTTGAAAACATACTGTCATCACTTGGATAAAATCATAGGGGGGAAAAATTAGATTTTTTTGCAAAGTTTGTATAAAAAAAACATTTTATTTAGGACTGACAAGATGATTTATAAAAAATATTTTAATCTAACAATTTACACTGAAACTAACCAACTAAACTGGTCAGAAGATGGATAGAARTCAATCAACACATGGTAGGCTTCAGCCTTCAGGAGGAAATGGTGACAAAAAGTAATGTTTTGAAGATGCAAACGCTGGATCTCTTCAAAACGACYAGTTTTACTCTGTCCAGCGGTGACCACAGTGAGGAGCTGTGCAGACGTAGTACAGCCGCATAGCATCCTGTGACGAACAAAACAGATAAAACCAGTTAGATTTAACTTTTACTATTTATCAAACCAAATCATTTGAATTAAATATACAGATATTTGCACTAAAATATATATCTCATGAAAATCTCAATKAACCACATAATTTTCTCAATTATTTGCTGTAAAAGTAATGAACATAGACAGTATGAACATAAAAAGTGACTTAAACGGTTTTGCCTGAATCTTAAATATACAAGTGTAAACATAAAAACTTCTATATTAGCATTCTATACTTTTTTGGCTTAACTAGAACCATAACAACTTTATAATCAAAACAGACCACTCTTCTGGAAAACAACTCATTATGTTTCTTAAAACTGAACAGCCCAGTTAATGCAGTGATTAAACACAAGAAATAAAAAACTAAAATAGTCACTGGAAGCAGTTATGAAAAAAATGAAGCATTTCATTGTAATTACCTCAGCCTTCATACTGTGTGACTGGAAGAACACTGCCTCCTTGTGGCCGCACCTGAACAATGACAGAATAAGGCACCGGGTTAAATTAAAGTCACAGTCATTCAATGTTTTTGTAACAGAATATTTCCTTTATAGTTTACTGAAGTTCATAAACTTTAATTTTATAAAGAGTGGGACAAAAAAAAACTCTCTCTTTGTGGGATGTGAAAATGAATGCACCGACAACAAATAAAGATTTTAATCAATAAAACAAGGAACTGAAATAAGATTTTCTTGTCATTGCTGATTATGGCTGTTTGTGAGAAAGCTTCACACATCAGGAGAAAGACCCCCCCTCACACCGAATGAAGACACCGAGTTCAAAAAAGAAAATCAGCCAGAATGTGGATGGTCACGATGCAAGTATTAGGAATGCAGTGTGCTCCCTATTACCCATAACAAAGCCTCTATGTCTGTAAGGATGTCAGCTGAAAGTGAACACTTGCTTTGGACACGGGTGATCCTCGGTTCTTGGCAGTGTTGGATCTTGAGCTACATCAGCGATGATTTGGGTCAGTTCACTGAGAAGAAGAAAAACAAAAGAATTTCAGCATTTAGTGCTGGGACAATTTAAACCTTAAACGRGAGGCTTGTATCCTCTGCAAATATTAGTCCAAAGTGACCAGATGGTGAACAATTACTGTCTCAAAGTGGAACCACTCAGTTTGTGGTAAAAGAGTAAAACATTTCTTTCCTAAGTCAAATCAAACAACAAAAATAGATATGAAATCTTTGAAGATTTATCACACATCAAATCTGAAGTCCAACTCCAACGAAGTTGTGTAAAACAAACAAAAACCGAATACAACGTTTAGCAAATCCTTTTCAACCTATATTCAATTGAACACACTACAAAAACAAGATATTTATTGTTCAAATGGATAAACTTTTTTTTTTTGCAAATATTCACTCATTTTGAATTTGATGCTCCAAAAAAGCAGTGTTACACCATCTTTCCTTTTAACAACACTCAATAGGTATTTGAGAACTGAGGACACTAATTGTTGAAGTTTTGTAGGTGGAATTCTTTCCTATTCTTGCTTTACGTAGTACTTCAGCTGCTCAACATTCTGGAGTATCTGTTGTTGTATTTTGTGCTTTATAATACTCCACCCATTTTCAATGGGAGACAGGTCTGGACCGCAGGCAGGCCAGTCTAGTACCCGCACTCTTTTACTACGTGCAGAATGTGGCTTGGAATGGTCTTGCTGAAATAATCAGGACGTCCCTGAAAAAGATGTGGCTTGGACGGCAGCCTATCCAAAACCTAATCTGTTTGAACGCTAAATATCTTGTCGATTCAATTGATTTTATTTAAATGCATTTGAGACAAAAATAATCAACAAAAGTGCAGAACTCAAACTGCAGTGAAAAATACAATTATCTTTGGGATTACGTACTCTACTTCATGGGTGATCTTGTTGACGTAGATGCAGCTGTTGTCTGCTTCTTGCTGGTAGTCACAGTTCCTGCACTGTAGGTTCAAGAAAAAAAAGAACATATTTTAAAAAAGTTTATTTTAATATTTGCAACTAAGTGAAAACTGACACACAGAATCACACACATTGCATTCATTTATATTTGTAATAATGTTTAAAAGCTCTAATTTTTATTTGCTAGTTTTAAAAAACAAATGTTAGCCTAAACTTGCCCTTCTGCAAAATCTGCCTATGAACATGATGCTCCTTGACTTTGTGTTTTATTTGTTGAATAAATTGAGGAGAAAAACAAACAAATAGAAAACATAGTGGCAGCAGTAATGACATCCCTTTAATGAACGAAGGTAAAGTCTTGAACATTAGTTTTTATTTGACTGAAACGTATGCAGTAACTTTGAACGGAATACTCACCGCATACAACAGGATGCGGTTCTCCTTGTCTTCTTTAGGGTATAACATGTTATTACTGGAGGAAACAACGTCAGCATGGTTAAAAAGTTATATTTGATTTTAACACAACAACTTGTCAACGAGCAGGTAAGCTCACATACTAGCTCTTAGCTTGTCCGGTCTATTTTTACTAACATTTTACAGCCACAAACTCACCATTCTTGACAAAACCTAATACCCACAAAGCCAGGCTCGTATGTTCCTCCGTCTAAATCCATCAGGATTTAAAAAATATCCTGACAACTACAATAAAACAGCACTGCGTCGCTAAATCGACTCTCTACTGGTGGTGAGTGGAGGAAAAAAATGGATGGTTGTACATCCGGGTAACTTAATAGATACGAGGAAAGAGACAGCGCCATCTAGTGGTTCGGCAGACCCTGGTAAAATAAAATAAATTAAATTAAATTAAATTAAATTAAAATAAAATAAAATAAAATAAAATTAAAGATACAATAAAATAAACATGCAATAAGCATGCAATAATTTTTTCCTATGATTTTTCCTTTTTTATACTTTGACCATGACAGTCAAATCACCAACTTCAAATTAGAATTTAATGGCTCTGATTTATTATAACAAAATTTCCAGCTGAAAATTGCTGTGATGTTTAAGATCAATATCTTTGACCAAAAGACAAAGAGAAGCAAGCCCAAGGTTCTGTTTTGAAGTTCTTGTTCTGGCTTCATGTTTAGAGAATTGAAAGCACAAGATGGTATGTCAAACCTACCCAATTTGTAGAAAATATGGTTTCTGTATTTTTATTGCCTAACAGTACAGTTTCCACAAAGAGAAAAAATTAAGAAATGTGCCAATAATAAAAAGTCATCAGCTTCCTCAAATGATTGGGGTAGCCAGAAGGGTGGCGGAAGATTAATCTATCGTGGACATGGCCACCATTGGCCACCCCTTGGCTCTGGTGGATAAAATTACTCACTCCGCTCATAAAGATCAGAGTCTTTGCTCAACTACAAACAACTATAACAAAATTCCCTACAGGGAACCTTGACATACCACTCGTTTCATATTGTTTTAGCCTATATGGGAGTGCAGTCAGCATTTCTCTGTCTGTTTAGCAACTGTTGCTGCTTCTTCTTTATAAATATTTTCCCTCCCCTATGCCTGAGCCCTTGATCCCCCGAGTTAATTCCATGAACCGCCCAAATCTAAATCCACGGACAGAGGGACACAAAGTTGGCAACAAAGAGTCACGATGGACAGACAGATAAGAAAGACACAAACTCATAACAAAATGTGCAAATCTCCCAGTGTTCATCTTCTTGCCGTTCCTCTCAAATCCATCAGTAGCAGGGCCATGTGGCGTTAGTGTGTCCTCACTTTGCAGATGCTCGAGTGATCCACTGCGCCAACTCATCAGAGGAGGACGATCAAACCCCGACTGACGTCACTCATCAGCCCTCTGTAATTGACAGGGACACTAATCCTGCTCCGCTCCAAAGCCTTGCAGCTGCTGCTGGTGGTGGTGGGGGCAACAGGGAAAGACGAGCTAGAGAGACACACGAGGAAGGAAGCTGGCTCTAGGAGCGAAGGGTGAGGTGGATTTTGGCTGGTTGGAGGAAACAGGACCTAACAAGTGGCATCAAAGTGCTGCCAGGCACACATCAACCCCCTGAGATTCTATTAGGCTCCTGGGGCTCCAGAGGGTTTCTGGGTCCTCCAGCCCCCCACTTGCCAGGCTTCGCCCTGGAGGCCTTAAACTCTAGCGAGGGCTCTGCGGAGGTGGGACGTCGTGGCAGCTGCTCGCCTCCTCCTGCACCCCGTCTTTTCTCACCTGTATTGACTGTGGAGCAGCCGGGCCTCACTACTGTGGAGCTGCGCCAAGATGGAGATGTACCTCTGACTGCAAACCAAGGGTAGGAGACAGCAACCTGTGTGTGCGTGTTTGTAGAAAGGATTTGATTTTCCACTGACAAAAGCTTCAACAACAAACAAATTAGGTATTATAATCTCATCATCATAACAAACACAACACATAGACATTTTGAAGACAAAATAATGTATTTTAATTTGTGGATTCTGGGATTATTATTATTATTATTATTATTATTATTATTATTATTATTATTATTATTATTACAAGCTGATGATAGATTTAGGCCTATTTAAAAAAGTTAATCAGAAAAACTTGTTGAGATTAAAAAATAAATTTTTAAGAGTGCCCTGAGCAATTAGCAGCATATTTAGCCATATAATAAACAAAATTTACTAACAAGTTGTTTATTCTAATAGTAAAAACGTAATAGGCAGTTAAACGAAGAGTAACATTTTGTATTCAGAGAAACAGATGCACACTGGGACTAAAGATTAAAAACACCCCATCCCCCAGACTAAGGTCTGGAAGAGACTTCTCATGGACTGAAAAAGGCCCAAGGGCCACCAGTTTCTGACCACTGGTTTAATCTAAAAAACTTAGATTTAAAACAGAACGAAGTGAGAAGATAAAAATAACAATTTAATCCAAATTTAATAGACAGGAGCATATAATTTGACATTAACAGTAGCAAAATATTTTGCGGAATGTCTCTTTATAAAGCAGATGCTTTTTCAAATTATATGACAATTTTTAGAGTAAACAATAAGTAAAATCGACACTAGTTTAGTAACTTTATGTTTTGTATTTGTTCAAAAGTTAAGCATTTTGTCTGTCCAGCTATTTCCGTGACTACACATCTCATTTAGTTTCAAGCATTCACTTTTATGAAGATAACTTTCATTAAACAGGAAGCAGAAAAGGTGTTGCAGCGGAGATGAGTCATCTTTTCCTGAATTCAGACATTGCATAAAGACATCATGTTGTACAGAACTGTTTTATTTTTGTCGTCGGATTGCGGCCGATTTTATTTCATCAAATGTTCTAAGCGGTCAGGGGAAGCGGTGATGAAAGCAAACACGTGCACACACAAACGTGTGCAGGTTTTAATGATTGTAGTGAGATAAAAATGATCAACAGAGAAACTGGGGTGAGAGCAGGAAGTTTTAGGTTTAAAAAAGGTTCTGCTTGACATTATTTTTTACTATCATACATGTCAAAATATTTGTCGTATGACTGCATATTTTTTCTTTTTTCACACCTTCCTAAATAACCTTCAGAAATAAACTCACAAACATAAAATCTGTGATGGAAAAATGTACAAAAGTTGTCATTGTTTAGTGCTTTTCTTATTATTACATTTATCATGAAATTACTTTTATTTTGACCTTATGTCTTAAAGTATTTTCTCCATTGTTTGTTCTGATGGAGAMAAACAGTTTTGCTTTTCAGAGTGTTTYAGAGAAGTCATTGTGTTAACAAAAATGCTATTCTGAGTAAACCCTCTTGTGCTATAGACAACTGATAAATAGGATGATTGCTCATCCTGCAGAAAGATGTGAAACTTGTAACCACCCATTTTTGCTTTGTGTTTATAAATGTTGCAAGGAGGTTTGAACCCAGTGTTGTGTCTATTTGTGTTTCTGGTTCCTCTTGCTGTTTTAAAGTGTCTTGAACCTGACAATCTGTCTTCACCAGTCATTAATTTTCAGCCGTGCAGAAATGGTTTATTCAGTTTTCTTCCTATTTGGTTAATAATAAACCCATTTTGCTGATGAATCCAGTCAAATCCATCACATTCCATTAAAAATTGAAACTGAGACAGATTGTCGACTGAGCTGAATCGCCGTTTGCAGCGGCTGTGAATGAGAGGGATTACACAGAGGTTAAGCTTCTTTATCATAATAGCTGCTGAAAGTTTCCATCGCAGGTGGTACACGGACAGCTTAGTGTGCGACACTTGTCAACAGCGCCGTATCAGAAATTAAATTGGAAGGCCTGCGCTCGGTCAGATGTGGGTCAAACATGATATAGCGTCCACCCAAAGCTGATTCTGTTTGGATGAAAACAGGGTGTCCTCATTTTGCCCATTGTGCAAACAGGATTAAAGTTGGTGAGGTTTTTTATTGTATTAAACAATAAGCCTGTTGTTTGAGACAAAGGAAGCGGAAAYCTAACAAATTAATTTGAATGAAAATGGAAACGTCAGAAATGTTGGGATGTGTGTTTAAAGTGATTTGAATAAGTGCTTCCAGTGGCTTCGAAAGTTGGGGTCGGGACCCCACTTTGGATGATAGATAGAACATCAAGTGAGGGCCCCCTGATAATCTCCAGAAATCAAATTAAATGTAAAAGCATTGATTATTGCATAATCTAACCCTAACCCTTGTTTGATAAGGATGTTAACAAAGTGTGTATATTCATAAACTGGTCATATTTGAGGTCACAAACCTCTAACATAATTACTATGTAGGTTGGATGCTGAAAGGTTTGGAAACAACTAAAGTATGCAGTCATGACACTTCCTAGTCAGGGTTAGGAAAAGTTTTTAAAGAGGAAACTAAGAGCCGTAAAATAAGTGAATGATCTTTATTATGGTGTTGTCAAATATACCGCTGGATGTTTGGAAAACRACAGCTAAAGAAAAATGAGGGACTTACAGGGCTTTAAACCTGATTGGTGGAAAAACTCTACATAATGTTGGGAAGGCTTCTAAATATTCTAATCACTGTTAAGAAATRCTAAATTTTGTCATCATCATTGTTCTGCATCAGACTCCTAAAACTAATWTAGCTACCTGGAGTTTCTTGGTTCTTTTATCCACATTGTTTGAGGATGTCTGGAGTTTAAAGGGTTAAACTAGTTTGTTCTCTTGCTGACATACCGGTAACTGGAGTTTCTCTCCCTGTGGACCATGCTATGCGTTTATTAAGTGATGATTCACAACTCCTTCTAAATGAGAAAGGGAAGAATCGGATTGTCAGGAATGGCTGCAATAATAGCTCGTATGTGGGGTGTGGGGTGTGTGTGTGTGTGTGTGGCGAGGGGGCAATTGAGAAACCAGAAAAAGTTTAGAGTTGGCCATAGGCCCCCTGGCCCCCACCTGGTGGTGCCCCTGCTTTTAGTACAACAGAACTCAAACCTTGTGTTTGCATTTTTGTTGTACAATAATTAAGAAGAACTTGCAGAATAAACAATAACACAAAYGTCTTTTAAACAAGCCAATCAGGTTTTAATGCATTTGCATGGATAATACAGTACTCAGGTTAAACATAAAATAATACATTTTGTTCAAAATAAATAAAACATGGTCTAAAACGTGATTTTAAATTTTCAAATATCCCAGGTTACACCAGGACTTGAACCCTGGTTTCAAGGATAAAAATCCAACAGATTCTCCAGCATTCAGACTTGAATGAATTTGGAATATTTTAAAATCCTTCCTCGTCGACAACTTCGGCTTTTTAGGAGTTTGGAAAGATGTGGCCGTGTTCACTTTGTGTGTCGAGAACAAGGAACAAATACAGAAATAAGACTGGAATGTTAATAACAAAAGCCAATTCAAACAAAGGCCTCGACTATTTAATCAGTCGTGGATTTGGTACGAGGCAGGAAGTTGCAGCTGCTTATACACACTTTTCTTCCAGGTCTGGCCACTCAGCAGCAAGCTGCCACATGGATTGGGGTTTCTGGTAACACGGTAGGGAGAATCCCCAATCCATGTGGCAGCTCTCCCTACCGTGTTACCAGAAACCTTTAGACAGCAATCCTGCATTCTGATGAGAAATAATTACCGGTATGTGCTGTAAGTGCTTCAGGCGTGTATTAACTTGACTATATTGCACTCTGTTTGAGGTGACCATGACATGAGCCACTCAAAGCAGACTGTATGTCACTAAATCACATAAAAATCGATTATTTTGCAAAATAAGTTATTAGAACATACCCCAGTTCTCCTGGGAACAAAACAGTATGTGTGATGCATTTATTTCCATTTATTTCAATTTCCTTCTTGACCAGGTACAGCGGGTAAAATAAGTATTGAACACTTCAACATTTTTCTCAGTAAATATATTACTAGAGGTGCTAATGAC